AGCCGATACCCCCCCCCCCCCCCGCTCATAGGGAGTGCGTACAGTTGATCATAGTTCCTGGGCTCCCTGTGCAAGAACTGGGTCAACAATAAAGTTTTATTTGTCAAAAACGAACGCGTTCGATTTATTTAAATAGTGTGTTTGTTCACAGTAGTTTGTTACGGTAGTTCTCTTTTTGGAGTGTGTGGTGGCCCTGAAAAGGGCCGCTTTGTTTGTCTTTTTACGTAATAACTCATTGGAACTTAACGACTTAAGATGAACCACGCAGCATGTGGCGCACACGTTCTGCTTTCTCTTCATTCACGATGAATCCAATATTAATTGCAACGATCCATACCTTGGTGAGTGGTTTGAATCACTTAGCTTTGGTTTCAAAACGTAGCATTTCGCTGACTCTGATTCCATAACGGGAGCTAGCACTTTTGAGACATCACGTCGTAAACTTGCTACTTTCTTTCCATCCTTCATCACAGCATGTGGATTATTTTTCTGTCGTTGAAGAAAAAACATTTTGCCGACCTCAAGTCCATTACGATAACCATAATGAGGCAAGCCGACGTTGGGAACTTGTTGCATCATCGTTATTTTTGTAATTTTTGTAATTTTGTCACGTGTGTGGGTGCGTGAATAAATCATGTTAATGAGATCGACCAGAGTTTATTTTCAGTCTGTTTTTTTATGTATCGCCATTTGGATATGTTTATGTATTCACAATAGTTTGTAAACATTTCACATCAGTAATAAAAGGTTTATTTGTTTCATAGCCCTGTCTGCTATTCTTCAGTAATTACGATGCGATGTATCAATACACGCGTGAACAAAATTATGCTAATGAGGTCATCGCCATCTTGGATTACAAGCGGTAGTTTTTCCTGGCCGTTCCGACTTGCACTGGTCACGGTTACCGGTACTAAAAAAGTAACCGTGCACTGATTACAATACTTACCATACTTTGTAGCCAATTTCAGTGAGTAATACAACTTCATTCGCTGACATAAAACAAGTTTTATTCTTGAAATTCGACCCCGTGTCTTAGTGTTCCCACAGTTCTTGACCGA